ATTAAGTACCCCTGGCCTAGTTAAAAATCCTAAGAATTTCCTTAGAGCTTTCAGTTATTATGAAGTAAGCTCATCGGCAATCCTTTGGCATTTCCTCTACCTCTCTCCTTCCCTTTACAATGCAGGAGAATTTTACAAAATGTCAAATTCTCTAGGGCTGGGCAAATATTTAAAAAGTCTGAACATACTTGTACTCGTGGATAGAAGAAGTTAGAAGAAGTTAGTCTGTACAGTTCTTATTCAAAGAAGTCTGCTGTCTTCACAAAAAGAAATTTTGTAGATGATACATGTTGAACATTCTCATCTAGTGGTTTAACACCACAAACAGACACCTTAAAAGTTCTTTCCCCCTTGAAGGACAATGCTCAATCATAGGGAACAAGATTGTGGTGCTTCCACTGCCCTTGGTTTTCTATGTATTTAAGTGTCATCAATAATGATCATTTGATTATGACTCAATATGCATACTTGAAAATTATGTATTAGACCAGATATTTCAAGGGCATCTTTGGTAACCACAACTCATTATAATTTTTACACTGGCAATTGCATTCATAATTAGTAAGAACCATGACAATCTGTCAATTGCCTTTATTCATTCAGGTATTAAATATAGCCAACATTTCGTGCTTAATTTCCTGACAAATTTTCTTTCCAAATAAAGATTAGAATTCATATGCACTAGGCCAGAAAGACATATGAAAATATATAACCTAAAACACACGTGTGAAAAATTGATTTATTTTAACTGTTTGGTATTTTCATTGAAAAAAAAATCTGCACTAGAAATCCCATTTATAAATTATAATGAACAACATTTTACAAGCAAATGAATTATTCTCTTTTAAGATTGTTTAATGTTACAAGTAGAATTCCCCACTTTGCAACACTTTCAGTGATACAATTTTTGTTGTGATAGGAAAACAGAAAGTTAATGATTCTTTCCAATTTGTTCATTTTCATCTCCTGTATGCTTGCTGCTGTTTGGTTCCCAAGTGCATTTAACTGGCAAGTTCAATGAAGATTTGGCATTGCACCATCTGAAGAAAGCCGAAAAATTAGGTTGCCAATTACATATGTGCCCCTTATGTGCACTGAATTCCCACTGAAGTGATGAGCCAAATTAGAAATTCCTCAGTAGTAGTACCTAAAAAGTAAAATTAGAGCCAAGGAAAGGAAAAGGAGATAATTTATTTTTCCAGCTCTATTACTAGTCATAAGGCGTTTTAGAAAGTGAGTTAACTTTCATACATTTGCCAAACAATATTTGTAGATGAAATACCATTAACAATTTAAAACTTGCACTTATTTTTTTTCTTTCCTCGTTACTTTGTTGTTCTTTGATTTACCTCATACTCTATGAGGATTATCCAGTCCTTGTGGAAAAAGCTGTATGACCACGAATTCTGCCTGGAGCCTGACGGGCATAAAAGAAATGTAAGAGAATATAAATATGGTATTAGCATTTGGGATCTCTTGTGTTACATATTACTAAAAGGAAAATTCATGATGCTTTTGCAACATGAAAATGGGTAGCATCACGGATACCTTAGAGCAACAAGAGAAATCAAGGCTGAAATTGACTCTTAGTTCAAGACCAAGGACCAATGAGAAAGTGTTGGATAGGAGAAGTGCAGATTGACTCAACTGCAGCTCTAAGTCCAGAGAACAGAGCAAAACTCAATCTTAATGTAAACTACTCTATTGATTGGGA